GAAAATAATATGTCTCTTAAACCCACTAAAAATCATTTTGTGGACCAAAAATTCTCTAAAAAAAATTTTAAATAATTTTTTCTGTAATCAGCACAATATTAGGTAGTTTTTGAGAGTCCCAGGATCGCTGGAAGGGCCATTCCTAAAAATATACTTTTTTGTCAGTGTAAATATCAAATTTGAAATCTTTTCGAATTACCCTCGTCTTTCAATTTATGTTATTGTCTACTAAATTTAAGACTTAAGAAAATATAAACATAGACATGTTGTAAGGATACAATAATAACAACAATAACAAAAACATAATCAACAACAACAACAGTATCAAATACTAACAATGTCATCTAAAGGAAACATACAAATCAGACAATTTACACAAAACGATGACGATGATGATGATGACAATGTTTCAGCAAGCAAAAAAAAATAAATAAATAAAAAATACAAAAAAAAATCTAATAAAAAAATATAAATCAAAATAAAGCAATTCAATAAAATTTCAACATTGTCTCCCAATAGGCTTTGTATAGAGAATGAACAAAAAAAAAAACACAAGTTCAGAGGGCCAAAAGTAGATGTGTTGATAAAGAACCACCAACCCCTATGCAGAATAAATGTTAAAAAAATATATTGGAAAAATGTTTTTTTTTTTATATAAATAAATACATATGAACAAAAAATATAGGAACACAAAAATCAATCAATGAAATAAACACACAAACAAATAGATTTAATAAAAATATAGGAAAAAAAGGAAAATGTGATTGATTTCAGAATAACAACAGTTTAAAATACACAGTGAAAACTTTAAGGAATGGATTAAATTTGGTATATTAAATATCAAAGATTAAGATATCTTAAGAATTTTTGATTACATTTAAAAATTTGTATTATAGTTTTTTTGAAGAAACCAACTCAAATTGGGATAATTTTCTTAAGTCCTTTTTATTTACTTTAACCTGTTCCTTAATTGAATATTTTGTTAACATTTCAACCGAAAAAGGAAAAATAAGTAAACAACAAATTTCCTTTAACAATTGTGGTTTATTATACAAAACGAAGAAAATAATAAAAGAAAATGTTTTACAAAAAAAAGCCTAAAATTACAAAAAGAGAAAATAACCAAGTTTTATGTGAACTTGTGTCGAAACTTTTAAAGAAAATAGAAAACACAATTTAGCAATTTCCAATGATTATTGTATATTACAAAAGTTTCCTATTCACTGAACTCAAAATCAATTATTATTTTTTTTCCTACTACCAACAATTGTCAAATGGCCGATCAAATAAAGAAAAAAAAAACGAAAAATAAAAATAATAAATATCTATGGCCGCCAAACACACACACATACAAGTCAAACTCTAGCAACTTCATTCAGTTCATTTTTCATTCTCTGCTCAATATATTTTCGAACATCATACATTTTACAGGAAAAATAACTGAAAGAATGAAGAAGAATAGGAAAAGGAAAGGAGTGAAAAAAAGTAACATTTTAACAATGGCTGGATGTTGAAGATGATGATTATTAAGCTTACGAAAAACAATTCACAAGCCAACAAATAGTAACAAATACAACTTCAGCAACAACTTAACCAGTCTATCTTCTAAGCATTTTAACCAAGTTGTATGAATTTGAGATATACTCACTCTCTCTCTCTTTAGACTCTCCTTCCATGTACATGTATGTAGCTTGGTTGCCAGCTTTTGTATTGTCAGTGACCACAATTTATACGCATATCAAAACAAGGACCTGTTCATCGTAAATCAATCAATCTTACAATTAAGAGAGTTCCTCTGACACATTTAGTGTCCAATTTGAATAGTTTTTTACTTATTTTTTGTTGTTGTTGCCGTTTGACTGACTTTTTGTTATTGGCTCATCCGAAATATAAAAAAAAAGTATTTAGAGATACGAGTAAGTTAAGAAAACAATGGCTAAGGGGGAAAATTATCATGATTTGAGAAGACTATATTTATGCAAAATGATTTTTCATTCTTTTTACTGGTGTTGTGTTTTTTTTTTTTTACTTTTAGAGTTGATAGAGGTAACTTAAGAAGTCTGTTATTTAAAACGATAAGTCTTTAGAAACGATTTAAACGAGAAATTGGAAGTATGAAACAGAAGATTTGTTATCAATCGAGAAAAATGAGTTATACTGAGAGAAATTATATAACTTGAGTAAGATTTTTGAGATATTGACTAAGATTCTAAGATCTTAAATAAGTAGAGCCTCTGCTTTCATTATCAAAAAGATCTTAATTTTTTCTTATATCATTGAAGTTTTAGATTAAATTTTTAAAGAATTACTGCCTTATTCTTAAACATTTATCAAAGGTTTATAGAATAAATTTTGTATGAAAATTTGATTTATAAACCTTTGATAAAAGTTTATGAATAAGACCTTTAATATATAGATCGGGAATCTTCTGATCGGAAAATATGTATGTGTCGGAAGATCGTTATTTTAGCATTGAAGTTTTGGACAACTATGATCGAACATTTCAATATTAAGAAAATCTAAAGGATATTTGTTTTAAGTGTACACAGATCTAGATTTTTTTCAAGTGAAATCTATTATAATAAAGATATATATGTTTAGTGAATAGAAATCTTATATGAGATCTTATGATCGGTGATCTTAAAGAACAGACTTTGTCCATGAAACAATCTGTAAATATTCCCTAATATCAGTAATGTTTAAGCAAAGTTATACACAACCTTTTTAGTGAGTAAAGATCTGTTGTGCGATCGGTGATCTTTAAGAAGAATGGGTTTGGTTTTCAAAGTGGAAACACACTCAATGGGAAATATTGAAGTTTTGGAAACGCATTTGAGTTTTAGACAACTTATTTCACAATCGTAATGAATTCGAGGTATGATCGAACATTTCGATATTAAGAAAATCTGAAGGATATTTGTTTTAAGTGTACACAGATCTAGATTTTTTCCCCGCGAAACCTATTATAATAAAGATATATATGTTTTGTGAATAGAGATCTTATTTGAGAAAATCATGATCGGAGATCTTAAAGAACAGACTTTGTCCATGAAACAATCTATAAATATTCCCTAATATCAGGAATGTTTAAGAAAAGTTATCCACAACCTTTGTAGTGATTAAAGATCTGTTGTTCGATCGGTGATCTTTAAGAAGAATGGGTTTGCTTTTCAAAATGGAAACACACTTAACGGGAAATGTTGAAGTTTTGGAAACGCATTTGAGTTTTAGACAAATTAGTTCACGATCGTAATGAAGAACTCAAACAACAGACTTTGTCCATGAAACAATCTGTAAATATCACTAAATTAAGGAATGTTTAAACAAAGTTATACACAACCTTTTTAGAGAGAAGATCTGCTGTGCGATTGGTGATCTTTAAGAAGAAAGGGTTTGTTTTTCAAAGTGGAAACACACTTAACGGGAAATGTTGAAGTTTTGGAAACGCATTTGAGTTTTAGACAACTTAGTTCACGATCGTAATGAATTCGAGGTATGATCGAACATATTTTTCAATATTAAGAAAATCTGAACGATATTAGTTTTAAGTTGATACAGATTATCCATGAAACAATCTGTAAATATCCTAATATCAGGAATGTTTAAGAAAAGTTATACACAACCTTTTTAGAGAGTGAAGATTTGTTGTGCGATCGGTGATCTTTAAGAAGAATGGGCTTGTTTTTCAAAGTGGAAGCACACTTAATGGGAAATATTGAAGTTTCGGACAACTTAGTTCACGATCGTAAAGAATTGGAAGTATGATCGAACATATCTATCAATCTGAACGATATTTGTTTTAAGTGTAAAATGGGTACACTTAAAACAAATAGCTCCTTGCGAAGTCTATAATAATAAAGCTGTATATGTGTTTAGTGAATAGAGATCTTATTTGAGAAAATCATGATCGAAGATCTTTAAGAACAGACTTTGTATATGAAATAATCTGTAAAGATTTCCTAATATCGGCAATATTTAAACAAAGTTATATACAGCCTTTTTAGAGAATGAAGATCTGTTTTGAGATCGGCGATCTTTAAGAAGAATGGGTTTGTTTTTCAAATTGGAAACACACTTAACGGAAAATATAAAAGGACAGAAACCATAACCGAACACCCTGAACAAAGATCAATTAGGAAAACGTTGCAATTGAAAAAAGTTTTGTTATAGTCTTCATTATCTAAAGCAAAGCTGCACAACGAAATTTCAGTCTCTTTAACTACAAATATTTTGAAATAATTATTGCTGTCTTAACTAACCAAACAATTTTTTTTTTGTTAATTCATTTAGTAATTTATCATATAAACTTAAAAAATTGCACGAAATGACAACAAATAATGATCACAGAAGTTTCCCTCTTCAAATTTGTTAAGCTTTCAATTCATTAATTAACAAACATTAATCATGAACATAAGTTATTTAAAAGTAAACACTACCAACGAAATGGCCACTAGAAAAAACACTCAAATAAAAACAAAAACAATTTCAAAATATTTTCTTAAATAAATTAATGAATTTTCAATGCCCCCTAATATCTTAAGCATATTTTAACAAAAATCTTTGAGAAAAGAAAATACACAAAGTGTCACCAAAACTGTCATGAATTATTAACATATGTTTAGTGCCGATGCAACAACACAAATTCCATAGAGAGTCTAAAGACAATTAAAGCTATAATTTGGAGGGTGGTTTTTTGGAAAATTAGATATTGACCTCAATTTAGTTGATGTATGAAAACAAATGTACCACACACACTCGGCTGCATACACAACATTTCCAAAAGAAGACAATAAATTGTTTTGAAAATAATATTGAAGTTGATTTTTAAATCTTGTTGGGAAAAAAACATAAAAAATAAATTTAGCTTTTCTAATTAGTTTAAGAAAATGTGTGTTTTTTCTTTTGTTTGAAGTAGAAAAAACATTATTTTTAATTATTTAAACAAAAATATCGAAAAAATTTATTTCATTGTTATTTTGTTTTCTTGTTATTTATTACAGTTCACCACAAAAGATGCTTTGTGTCAGCAAAATTCAGAATGTTTAACGGTGAGTTTATTTTAAAATTTTTAAAAATTTTGTTTTTAGCATATACCGATGGGGGACTTGAATATCCTCCAAATAACTTGTTAATCTATATGTATATAAAAGAGTAGAGTTACTGACTGACTGATTTATCATCGCACAGCCCAAACGGCTGAACCTAGAATCATGGAATTTTGACAGAAGATGTGTTTTTGGTTATATAGATCCACTAAAGAGGGATTTTTGGAAATTTGTACATTTAGGGATAAAAAAAGGGAATTTTTATAAAAGTAAAACAGGTTTTCTTAATTATCTTACCTAATATTAGTGATACAAGAAAAATTTTAAATGCACATGTATCTACATTTAGAACAAGCAGATGGGTGTCTGGTACTTTTTTGAAATTCGTACTTTTAAGGGGTGAAAATGTGTAACAAAGGTGATTTTGGTACCTTTTTTAGCCCTTTATAGCTTTTTAACTAATAAACAAAATAACATTTTTGTAAATATTTTGAATATATCTCCCAAAATTAGGAGACACCTGTTTCGTACTTTTTTTAAAATTAAGTCCTTTTTGGGTTAAAAGGGAGAAAACTGTATTTTTGGTACTTTTTTTTAGCACATTAAGAAAACTTTTTCGATTTATTGAAGTATTCCTATTAAATTACGAACTAACTGTGTAATATTTATTGTAATAAAATTTTTGCTATTTCACTGGGGAAAAAAGTACCAAAAAGGGAAAAAACGGGAAATTTAATTTTATTCAAACTAATTGAGCCAATTTTTATAAAATTTGAAAAAGTAGTTTATTTACTCACACAAAATAAGCTGTTGGTATATTATTTTGGAATTCGAGTACTAAGGCCTATATAGGACCAAATTCGAGTAAATTGTTTGGTACTTCTTTGAAAGCATTATTTTTCTGGAACAAATGAATACAAATTTAAATCGTTTGAGTTGTATCTGTGATATATAGATTTTGTAAACTTAATTCTCGAAAAAGTATATTTCTAAGCGAAAAGGGGAAAAATTGTAATCTTTATTAGTACTTTCCACTTACGTAAAATTTATTCCACTTTTGGTACTTTTTCTTTCTTCAAATGATACTCTTTGTATGTTCTTTAATATGAATTCAAAACACATGATTATTAAACATACACGGTAGTCATTGAATAAGATTCTTTAAGAAGAACTTTTTAGTACTTTTTATCTCATATGGTACTTTTTTAATTTTCTAAAATATTCAACCTAGGAACATTAATTTTAACATACATGGCCTTGACTGAATAATATTCTGTAAGTGAGAACTATTTGGAACTTTTCTTCAAATGGTACCTTTTCGATTCTTTATAATGGTTAACCGGAACACACGGTCCTTATTAAATGAGAATTTATTGAGAGAGATTTTTGTACTTTTTCGTTTTTCCGATGGTACTTTTTGATATTTTTACAATATTGAACATAGATATTAAAATAAAATTTAATATATAGGGACCTTAGTGAATGAGAATCTACTGAAAGTACTTTTGGTACTTTTTCATCCATCAAATTATATTTTTTGAATTGTCTATAATATTGAACACAGAAACATAAAATTTTTGATTAAATAAGAGGTATTTTATAGTACTATTTTTTCAAATAGTAATTTCGAAATTTTCTATAATGTGGATGCTAAACGAATGAAACTAAAACTATAAGCTTCTTCCTGAATGGGAATTTATTCGCGTGATTTTGAACGAAAAAAACTGAAGCATTAAAAAATGTTTAAAACAATTTTTTTTTTCTATAAAAGTAAACAAAATTTTGTATGTATTTAATTTTGGTTAGGGTAGAGAAGCACCCAGGGTATGCTAGTATTGAAACAAATATGATCGAAAAATATCTATATTTCGAAGCCTTCCGAAATTTGTTAAACTATTTTAATGAACTTTTTTATAATTTTATTTTTATCTTCTGACTATAAATATATGTTATTATTTTACTATTATTTTATAATTAAAATAATCTTCTGATGTTATAGTCATTTACTTTTTATGATGCAATCATAATGATAAAAAAAGCATGCATATGTATGTATAGTTAAATATGTCTAAAATAAAATGTTCACAAAGAAATCTCCAATATACAACAACATTTTTTTGTTATACAGGATAACAATAATACTATTTAAATTATTTGAAAAAGGTAAAATAATAAAAATTATTCATAAAGACATCAATAAAATACCCAAAAAAGAGCAAAAAAGAAGTGTCAAAAACAATTAATATTTATTTTATGGGAAAATATCTAAAATGACACATAGGGATTAACACGATTGATGCCTTTAACCCCATTTAGCGGCAATAGTTCAATCAAATTTAAATCCATCCTCTAGTCTAGTGTAAAAAAAATCTCCAACATTTATGGATTTATATTATGTTCAACAATTGGTTGTAGCTTTTTTGTCAATTTGTATCAAATAGAATTTTAAATACAATAATACATTTTATAAAAAAAAAAAATATATGAAAAAATCAAATAACATAAAAAATAAACAAGTGAGGCTGATGTCAGAGTGGGCGCTACAAACTTTTACTTGTGTTTTCTCAAGCTTCGCTTTCTCTCTGACATGACACATAGGAAAACACAGGGAAAGGTTTGTAGCGCAAAGCTTCGCATTGCTTGTAGCACCCACTCTGACATCAGCCTAAAGCCCCCTTCACACGAGCACACAAGTAATATGATCTGTCAAAATTTTGTGTAGAAGAGAACGGATGGGATCGTCTAAACGCAATATGTAATGAAACCATCACACATTGAGAGAAAATACGGATGGAAAATTTGACAGTCGTATGGCTCTCTTCATTTTTTGAAATGATTCAAAAAACAAGCAAGTCGCATTAGATCAGGGATGTATTTTTATGTAAACACATACAAAAAAAGTGAAACAGCTGTTCCATCTTACTTTGTTATTGTTTTATACCAATCGTGTAAACAAAAAAAAATATAAATCATACGACTTTTATTCTCGTTTTTGTCATACGGATGGAATTTCATTTTACTTGTCTTACGTAGAGTGTGATCGTGTGAAGGGCCCTTAAGAGTGTTATATTCGGCTGTGTCGAATCCCATATACACACCATAAAACCGTATGCCATAAAAGGAATGCTCCCCTAACATCATGATCACTCATCAAATTAACTGACCGTTTCTCATACAATTGTTTAGACCGATTTTGGTTTACATATTTACATTGAATAGCATCGCTGTACTCGCATTTTATGTCAGTTATTGGCGCAAAAGTAATTTTCTGGCTTATATGGGAGGATAGGATAAGTTACCGACAATTTCCCCATGAAATTCGGTAGGAAGATTTAAGTTTCTATAAAAGTTTCTTATATCAACGGCACACGTATTTTTAAGTCAGAAATGATCGTCAAAGTAATTTTCTGAAGGGGACCTTATATGGGGGGTAGGGTCAATTGTGGACTGATCCGCATTAAATTTGGTAGATAGATTTTAACTTGTATAAAACTAATGTGTTTCCAATTTCATCGCATTACTCGTATTTTTAAGTCAGTAATGAACATTAAAGTCATTTTCTGAAGGGGAAGTTATATGGGTATCAATCATATGACGATTCCCATAAAAATCAATAGAAAGGGTTTCTTGGCTCGCAAGAAACCGATCCACATAAAATTTGGTAGAGAGGTTTTGGCATGAAAGTAACTTACTTATGACAAATCCCATCGCTATACTCGTATTTTTTAGCAAGTAATGAGCGTTAAAGCCCTTTTCTGATGAGGATCTTATATGGGGGTAGGGTCAATTATGGACCGATCAACATAAAATCTGGTAGAGAAATTTTGGCTAGTAACGCACTAACTTATGTCAAATTTCAACGCTATAGTCGTATTTTTAAGCGAGTAATGAGCGTTAAAGTTATTTTATGAAGGGGACCTTATAAGGGGGTTAATGTCAATTGTCGACCGATCCACATAAAATTTGGTATAAATTTGTTGAATTTCATTGCTATAGTTACACTTTTAAAACATATATGCCCGTTAAGGCTGTTTTTTAGGGTCCACTTGTATGGGGGCTATCCGAATATGTGGACCGATATGGACCATTTACAACACCAAACTAACTTTACCTATAGAGAATATTTCTGGAAAATTTCAACCCTCTAGCTCATTCCGTTAGGACTGTATCATGTTTTCCACAGACAGACGGACATGGCTAGATCGCCTTAGAATTTAATAAGGACCCAGAATATATGTGGGTCTGGCCAATATTTCGTTGTGTTACAAAATAAATATACCCCCATCTTTTTTGATGGTGGGTATAAAAACTACTCAAACCTAGTACCAAAATCTAAATACAACCCAGCAAAAAATTATATTGAAAAGTCACGTATATATAAAAAGCGCAAAAACTGAAGAACTTTTTTATTTTGACTCTTGTTGTTCTAGATTGAGAAAATGTGGCAATGTACTCGTCCATTATTCGGTGTATATTAATGCCGATTTGCTTTAAGATAGGGCCTCATTTGACCCTAGCCTCCTTACAAAGTCTCCTTAAGAAAATGACTTGAAAGTCTTTAATTCACTTATAAACATTAGTACTTATCACGATGAAATTAAAAATAAATAACATTAATGTAAACGTAACATATCTTCTTACAACATTTGTAAGCATAGGCCTTTATTTATTCTTGCCTCCGTATAACCCCTCTTTCAGTAAATTTTTGGTCAACAAATTGTAAAAATATTTCTGAATTAAGACAAACTAAATTAAAGGTTTTATTATTAAAAGAAATCAACATTTTTATCTTACTACTCACTGATGTAGGGTAGCATATGGTCGGCTATGCCTAACTTGTTTATCATAATTTTGACTAAAAGATTTTTGCCTTAATTTTAAAGCGAATATTAGATCAGATTCTAAACAAACAAATTTTCAAAACATTTTAAATGTCGTTGAAAACATTTCTTTTCATTTAACATATTTTTAAATTGTCGGCTGGTAGGAAAACTTTTTATAGA